CCTGTACAGTTTGTGTCAATAGCTTGCAGACATTTTGAGAAGTTGCCTTACTGAATTCATCGTAACAGCACTGTGTATTTTGCCTGTCAGTGGCTGTTTAAAAGGCATCAATTCCCTGCTGAGCTCCTGCTGGATATATCAGAAATTGAATCAGGACCTTCCTACACGCCAACCTTTAGAACTCCAGTGTTTAAAGCTATTAGATAGAGATTCTGGGAATTGAAATTCAAAATAGTAGACAGATGAGTGGCTGGAAACCAGTTTCCTGAAGAGTCTACTGTGCTGGAAGAATTAGTAGCTAGGGGATTGGCTTTTAAAGTTCAGAAGAGTTGGAGACGTGAAATGCTTTCTAACCTGGTACTTGCTCTTTTGTTATTTTTAATAGGTTAACTGCCAAGAAAAAAGTGAAGAAGGATGCAAAAAACAGCAATTCTAAGGCAGAGGCTGTTCCAGAAAATTGATTCTCATATCTTGAATGCACAGTCAACATGGACAAGGTTTCTGCCGTATTTGCAGGACTGGGGGATCTGAGCCACATAAGCTGCTGATGGACAAACAAGGCCTCTCTTGTCTATTTTGGCTGCAGTTTTAACTGTGACCACAGCAATCTGAAACCAGACCTGGTTTGCAATGGTTGTGTGGGAAGGAGACCATCTCCTAAGTGCGACGTTTTGCTAGGCTCATGTTCTAAAAGAGGACAAGTGTCATAACTTGAAGCATCTTGTAGATTTTTTGTGGAGGGGGAGTAGCTGAGAGGGTGTGTTGCCCAGAGCCGAGCCCATTGTCCATTCAATGATCATGTGCTTTATAAAGATTCATGTTTTTATTATGCAAGCATTGGATCATTGTGGTTTGGGATCTGAAGTCTGTACTCTTCCCAATAAAATGAACCCAAATGGTTTCATCACGGGCTTCGCACACGTTTTCAAATATTGGTTGATAGTTCTGTGTTGGAAATTTTTTAAAGGGACTGCTTGGTGCAACCAGCGTCCTCTTATCTTCAGCAGAAAGTAATCCACTGCATCTTTATTTATTTACAAAGCTTAGCAGACAGCTCACATCTCAAGGTTTCACCATGATGCACAATAATACGCTCCCACAAAAAAAAAAACACACTGCTTTTACTTTGTCCACAAAAAAGCTGTTTGCATTGTGTAGCTTGCAAAAAGCAGGTTATGTTTTGAACATACATCACTGGAAGATATTTCATTGCTATTTGGGAAGGACCCATATTTTATGGT